ACTCGATCATAGCCTTGTGTCACGCACCTCCATAACCCTGAAATTCAAAATGCTCTGGATTCCAAACGAAGCACGCTATTGAGCTGTAAAATTGTAAACGGATATAAATATAACGCCTCTTGTGCCTGATGAGGACAAAAACGTTGTTGGCCCTTTTGTTTTGGATTTTAGAAAGTGATGACGTCACGTGAAAACGATCTATATGTTGAACATGGAGAGTACCGAACAGCAAGGTAGTTAGCCTGCGTTGCAGCCCGACGTTTCACAAAATCCCCGATATAGTCCGGTGGTTTAGACTGTCTGCGACGCAGGCTACGAGGTAATGGGATTGAGAAAAGGTGGGAAAGGTCAAATTCAATTTCCATTCTCGGCCCCGGCCCCGGCCCCGGCCCCGGCTTTTTTGGTTGAAATTTGGTTGAATGGATCGCACCCCTTTGACTCCACCTTTGACGCAGGTGAAAGGAGGAATCAAATATCTTATGAATTTGCCATACATTTGACCCCTGTCAAAAGGCAAGGCCAAACATGTCAATAACTTGGACTTCAGCTTTATACCTTTGCTCTCCTATGTCAAAGGCACCCCCGAGGAAAAACGGGAGGTAGACGTTTCCTCCCTCCCGTGGGTAAGAACGCACTATTCCGTGACTCAACGTGACTATTTGATAATTACTGTTGCTTAGTTCTTGTTTATCGGTGAAGTGAAATTTTGCGCTTTATATAAAAAAACATAGTTCCCCTTCGAATGTTCATCAGATATTTAACTTTATTCCATATACATGTGTCTCCAGCAGCGAGTTTAAAAAATCTATTCTTATATTTTCGAGGTAACAAGGGTATCGTGTTGCATACCTTGCCGAGGAAAACAAAAGTATCAAGTTACAAACGTTGGCGTGAGAAGTATAATTGTCAGATTTTCTACTTCTGCGTATTATATATTATTGAAGTTAAAATTAACGAAACTCAAAGTAAAATACTACGATAAAATTCAAAACCGTCTTGACAAACGGTAGTTGTAGTTTATTTTTGGGCCTTGAAAATACAAACATGAAACGAAACATACACACTGCTAAGATTTATTGAGTCCATATCACGTTTTTGTCCGCTCATAGTCTGTAAAGGGGAAAGGCCTAGTTGACTATGGAAGGAGAGAACGGCAGGGGTGAGGACCTGTGTGACCACTGTATCATAGCCGTAAGTTGTCTAAATTGCCCTGATCTCAGATTGTCTCAGTAGTTTAGGAAAGGGGTTAATTTATTGAGTGTAGTTGAAACCAATGTCTACTAATTTTATCCACATTTTGCAATTTTACTTCCGATAAAAACGAAAAAAAATTAAAACTGAGATGAAGTTAAGTTTATTAATTTTCAGATTAAAATCAGGCACGATGATCTTCCCGGGCCGCCTTTCCGTCAACATTTGCAAATAGTTTGGTACAAAAAAACTTTGTTAAAGCTGGTATATTCCTTCCAGAATTGTCAAGCATAAAGCAAGACTGTACAGATATGATTGCATCTTTCGTATACAACAACAACAGAGCTACGAAGCTAGTGTAGCGAGCAGAAAAGGCGTTTAAGATGTGGATCGCGCGAAACGCGATAAAAGGTCGCGAAGCGCGAACGAGGAGCGCGAGCGAGAAGTTCGGGCGAGAAGCGAGCGCGGAACGCGCAGAGCACCTTTGACAAACCTTTGGCCTGTGCATTGGCCTACTTAAAAGCAAACGTTTGACTTGAATCGCAGACAGATTTGATTGCACTTTTAACCCGCCTTTGACAGTAAGCAAAGGTGTATCAAAGGATCACCTTCGCGCAAATTAAAGGCATTCACTGGTGAGTGAAAACGGTCTTTACCGCCTTTGACGTGGGTAGCAAAGGTCCCGGGCAAATGATCTTAAAGAGGCTTAAATGCGCGTTGAAGATCGTCAAAAGCGTGCAAAGGGTGCCTTTACAAAACCTTTGAACACACATTTAACGCCCGACAAAGGCGATTTTTCGTGCCGTGCTACACACAGACATTCTGTCTACACTCCACAGCCCATAGGTCCACGGGTCCACGGGTCCAATAGACTGTAAGAGTAGTCCCTCTTTCGCTTAGTCCGTCGTGCGTGAAGAGAAAGAAAACTGCGAGACAAAAAATGGCTTCGCGCGGCTATTTTTTTCTCGCAGTTTCCTCTCACGTCACACACCATGGACTAAGCAAAAGAGGACTACTCGTAGTCTACGGGTCCAAAGGTCCACGCCTCCTGCTAGATAAATGATAGACATTCTAGTCAAATCCCTTCTCAACGGCTCAGAAAGACCCAGTAACACAGGTAAATAACAGTACATTTGTTTTACATGAATGTAAATGAATAAAAAAGATGACTATGTTATTGCTGATACAGTGTTCGGGTACCCCGTGCAATTTCTGAAACTCTTTCGGAATATTGGACTTTACACAATAGCCCGCGATTTATTTTGTTTTTGACAGCGGACAATCGCGTGATCATGCGTGCCAAATTGAGGCAGTGTAAAAGTACGAGAGAGGAGCGAGAGGAAATCGTACAAGTGGCATTGTTTTATGCCTTTTTGCCTGGTATTTACCTCTGTCTGCAAAGATGCAACGAGTATTTACCAGAAAGGTAAGGTCTGATGATATTTTACGTAGTAAAAACAAGAAAGAGCTATTAAAAATCACTGAGTTAGATCGCTGAACGAACCGTGATCTAATATAAGCTTACCTGCTTCATCTGATTGACTTCAGGGCTATTTAAGTACAGATATTGCGTTAAACTTAGTTTTAAAATGGAACGCAGGCATGGCACGCAAAATGTTTTTTTTTTCGCAATCTCTCCAAGCTTCTGAAGATATATCTTGCCTTGTAAAACGTGCCTCTTGGTTTAAAATGTATGTGGACGTGTTGACCTTTCTCTTTTCACGTCTTACATGTAGTAATTATGAGATTCCTTTGCAGATTTGCACTGCTCAAATGCAAGGTGATGTTCAATACCATTCGTTTACTAGAGACCTTTAATAGGCTTGATCAAAGAACACTTGCATGCATGTACCTATCGATTTGCACCCTAGATTTTCACCCCTCCTTTAACAGTGTACATAGGAGCAGTTTACAGTAATATATCAGAAGGTTACTTTGTCAGTGAAACCACCTTTCAACATAAAATATAAAAAGTAACATTAGAACCCAAAACTTGTAATGTACTCTTTTCAACTCTTTTCAGTTGTCAAGTTCAATAATTTACCAAAAATATTTATTAATGGTGTTGCGTGTCAACAGACAAAATAAACAAGTCATGTAAATTGGCACACACTGAATTCTCTCTTGACCTCCTTCCCTTGGTAAGGGGTGAAAAATTAAACAAGTCACTAAACCAAGTGTTTAGTGAAGAATAAGGAAAACACCTTTCAAAGGAATCAATTAAATAGGCATTCACTTTCACAGAGGTTTTGACAAAGATTGATTAGCCTGTTTCTTTAAAAGTACTTCTATTAACTTATTCCACCTTCTGCCTTACCCATATCTACATGTAAGATATGCCAATGGAATTTCAAAGTTCATTGTCTTATCTTATTTCCCAATTGGGTACAGTTCATATGTGAGTTTTTAAAATATATGTTTTGGATAGAACATGGTTTGAACATATATATGGGTAACAGCTGGTTTCGCTACATATCAAGTTGGCTGTGTTTGAGTTCACTACATGTTCGCTACCCAGAACTTCCAGTTCACTACCTATTTAATTTGCATTCTCTACTATCGATAAAACTAAAAATTCAGGACATAGGTACATATAGATTATTCCTTGTTCTTTCATCCACTGCCGAGCCAAACCTGGTTAGCTGAGGTAGCAAACTCAGCCTGTGGGTAGTAAACATGTAGCGAACTTGAACATAGCAAACTCGACAGGTAGTGAAACCACTGTAAACCTATATGTGTTGTTGGTCAATAGATTATTTGTTCTTTTGGTCAGAATGATTTCAACATAGGTGAATTTGTATTAAAGGGGAAGGGGAAGTCTGGGACCAATAACTTATCAGACCAACAAATATGAGCAAATTTGCAACAATCGCTTGGGTGGCTTAGTGGAGATGAAGGTGGCTACAAAATCAGACATCAGGTGTTCAAATCTAGGTGTTGGAGAGGGGGGGGGGGGGGTGGGTTGATATAGGATCTGAAGGATAGGGTTATTAGAACTGAAAGGGATGAGTGTTGTGTGAGTTATTATTTTTAAGAACTCTCGAAAAGGAAAAAAAATTAACCTAGGGTTGAAACAAATTAATCTAGACTAAAATCATTCTGCTTCACCTTGGGCTGTCACCTTGTAGTGGTGGTGAGGCTTGGGTGTCTCAATGACCCTAAGAGCTGTGCC